GTGTGCCGGGGACGGGACGCATCACGCCGTCGCGCTGTAAAATGCAGACGTTGCTCGGCTTTCTAACGGTACGGGTTTACTTTCAGGACCCGGGAAGTCATGAATGCGGAGGTGCTTGGCACATTGTAAATAGAATGACTCCCACGTTTCCTTCTTCCAGTGGAAAGAGATTGACTCACTTTCACAAAGTCACGCACTCACCACTCACCTGGCAGGGCTTGATTGGAACCCCGCTCAGGCCCACGGCCCAAGCAGAGGAACCCTTGTGAGGGTGGCGCGGGACTGGGCAGCGCGTGATTCTGTCGTGCAGAGGGCCGACCCAATGGCCCCTGACAGCAGTGTCCCTGGCAGGGAGTTTGGCTTATGGAGGGGCCCCTGCTGTGAAAGTGCAGGGGGTGGGGTGGGGGGTTGGCTGAGCGCTTGGTGGCTGAGCCAGTGTTTCTCCTGTGCAAGGTACCAGGAGTCTCCCATTCCGCTTGGGAATGAGGCTGACATGGGTGCTGAGAATAGTTTGGTGGATTCAAACTGGGAACGTGGGAGGGAGAGCTAATTGGCATCATGATACGCAATAGATTTGTCAGACCAGGAGGGATCCATGAAATGGTCTGGAAAATTTCATTGCCTTTTAATTCCACGTTTCCCACAAGTTTTTTGAAGCCCCCCTACCCTATCCCTCCCCCACTCCAACTTTTTGGACCCAAATACAGACTGAAGAAAGAAGGGGTAGCTTTAGTATCTGTGAGGGCCAGTAAGGCATTTTACTTGACTGCACGGAGATGTCTGATGGGACAGCCCACTTCCCAAATCAGCTAGAACGGGGCAGTTGTGCTGTCTGCTCATCAGGACACCGACATTTTCATTCTTGCGGGGACATATGTTCTGAGGAAAGCAGCCCGACAAGTCATGTCTAAGGAACACTGACTGACAGTATGGAGCAGTAAGCTTCAAGTAGACTCGGGAAAAGCTGCCTTCCAGTTCCTGAGGGGCATATATAAAAATATATATATATATTGCCTTTTATTGTGAATTATGTGAAGGTTTATTGAGCAAATCTTCATTGTTACATTCAACACTTCATAGATGGTCTAACGCATTACCATCATTACCACCCCATCAATGCAACATGCCCCACTCCCTCCCTGTTTTTGTTTTCATTCTCTTCTTTACCTGACCCTTCTGAACTTTAAAAAAAAATCATTTTATTGGGGGCTCGTACAGCTCTTACCACAATCCATACATCCATCCATTGTGTCGAGCACATTTGTACATTTGTTGCCATCATTCTTTCAAAACATTTTATTTCTACTTGAACCATTTGCTCCTCATTTTTTCCCCCTCCATCCCCCACCCTCCTTCCCTCCCTCATGAACCCTTGATAATTTATAAATTATTTTTTCATGTCTTACACTGACCGATGTCTCTCCTTCACCGACTTTTCTGTTGTCCATCCCCCTGGGAGAGGGTTATAGGTAGATCATTGTGATCAGTTCCCCCTTTCTATCCCACCTTCCCCTTCCCCTCCTGGTATGGCTACTCTCAATATTGGTCCTGAGGGGTTTATCTGTCCTGGTTTCCCTGTGTTTCCAGCTCTTAGCTGTACCTGTGTACATGCTCTGGTCTAGCTGGATTTGTAAGGTAGAATTTGGGTCATGATAGTGGGGTGGGAGGAAGCATCAAAGAACTAGAGGGAAGTTGTATGTTTCATCAGTGCTGTACTACACCCTGACTGGCTCGTCTCCCTGCGACCCTTCTGTAAGGGGATGTTCAATTATCTACAGATGAGTTTTGGCTCTCCACTCCGCACTTCCCTCATTCACAATATGCTCTTTTTTTTTTTTAATGATATGCTTTTTTGTTCTGGGTCTTTGATGCCTGGCACCTGATCCTATCAACACCTCCTGATCACATAGAGTGGTGTGCTTCTTCCATGTGGGCTTTGTTGCTTTTCAGCTAAAGAGGGCTAATAAATATGTTGAAGAGTGATTATTGCGCACGAATAAGCACCATGGCCTGAGGATACCCAGGCAGATTTTGAGTTGGTGTAAGAGCAGCCAGAGCTATAGCAAACTGGAGGGGTGCTTGCTCCTGGGGCAGATGACCCAATCAAACAACATAAACCCAGCACATGTGAAATTGTTTGCTACAGATGAGGAAGCACAAGTAAGCCCTCGCTTGCCAGGCACCCCCCATCCCTGTCAGGGATGGTTTATTTGAAGGTGCTTTGCCTCTCTAGGAAGGCGCTGTGGGGTGGAGAGAGATGCCTGCCATACATAATAGCAGAATCTTTGCTAGGGTGAAAACAGGCGACATTATTCACGACAGATTGGAAAATTCACACAAGTAAGGCTGGGCTTATCTTGCTAATTAAGTCATTTAACATTGCCCCTGAAATAGCCATGATCAGTCCAAACACTGATTGCTTGCTCGCCTGTGGGGCTGAAATGACATGCTGGCTGATTCGTGCTGGGGGCGGGCAGCTGGAGAGAAGCAATCAATCCGTGTACTTGAAATTGTCTCACTGGCTCTGGGGTGGGGGCTGAGGTTGCGGACAGGACCACAGGACCATGTTCCTGTCATTTCCTTCTCTATTTCCCCAGCAGGGCAAAGATGAGGCAGCCGTTCTCCCGGAGGAGGCAGACAAGGAGCCACTGCAATCAGGTGGGTGTTGCGGAAGCGTTTGGTGGGGGACCAGGGCACAGTGGAAGCTCACCAGTGCCTCCCTCTTTTCCTTGATCCTCAGAGCAACAGCTGACCCTGTTGACTCAGCAACTGGCCCAGACAGAGCAGCACCTGAACAGCCTAATGGCCCAGCTGGACCCCCTTTTTGAGTGGTGAGGGATGACCTTGTGGCCAGGGCAGGTGGGAGGGATGGGGACATGGGGTGAGACCCTGAGTGGGCCTTTCTGCAGTGTGACAACTCTGGCCGGAGCACAGCAGCACCTCCTGAACACGAAGCTGCAGACCATTCACCAGCTGCTCCAAGCACACAGGCCGGAGCAGTGCGTGGGGGTTCTGGAGGCAGCAGGTAAAGGGCTGGGGGTAAGGCTCTGGTGGAGGTGGAAGTGGAGACATCCATCAGAAGCCGCAACACGCCTGGCCTTTCTCCCCGCAGAATACAGCCTACCCTTTCCTGAGGACCTCTACAGAGGGGAGGCTGGTGACACCCGGGCCTGGGAGGAGCCCGTCAGCCGGAGCACAGAGACGTGGGACCTGACCACTGCCTGGGAATCAGAGCAGGGGCTCCGGAGAAGAAGCTGCACCGCCGGCAAAGGGCCCTGGTCCCATCACCCTCAGGGAAGGCAGGAGGGTCAGCAGCTGAAGGTTCAGTAAAGCAAAACCTCTTCTTGTGACTGCTGTGTGCTTTCCCCATTCCAGTGGGTTGTGTACATAGCCTTACTAGGTGCCTTGGGCCACTGGGCCTTCTCGCAAAGCTTCCCTTATTAGGACAAAATGAGGCCGCCTCCAGAGTCAAAGGAAAGAAGACAGGGGGAGCTCTGGTTCTGTTCCTCGGATGCCACCATGCCAACAATCTCCAGGGCACTCGTGAGAGCGTGAGGGCACACTTACACACACACACACATCCCGAAACCCTTTCCATGTAACATAACAGAGAGGCTTTTCAAAAGAAAACCAACAAACTTTATTAAACCCAGTGGGGGAAATAAATAATAGAAACTATATGCAATAACTGTTTACAAAGCAGAAACCCTGAGAAAAACGTTTGGCTGTAAACACAGCCCTGAGATTTACACCAAACTGAAAATCAAACCCAGACCTCCATCAAATGGATCTCAATTCAGTGACCCTATAAACCAGAGCACAAATAAACACCCACAGAGTTTCCGACGTTGTCAGTTTTACAGAAGCAAGGCTGCCACATCGTTCTCCAAAATGGCTGGTGGATCTGAATCACTGACCTGTTGGACAGCAGTTGAGTGGTAACCGCTGCACCCTGGGTCCTTATGTTCTGGGCCAATGGATCCCAAACCTGCCACATTTGTGGTGGGAGGGTCTGGCTTGGAATCCCGATGAAGAGCTGGTCAAATGGCCCAGCTTGGCTTGGTCCAGGCAAAAATACAAAATGACTCTCCTCCATCTATGAAGGGTTCTGTGTTCGACTACCGAAGAAGTTTCCTTCGTACTCCTGGCTGTGACTTATCCCCAAGGCATTCTGGATTCTGTAATGTGTAAACTCTTCTAGTTCTTCTGAGCGCTGGAAAGAGAAGACCGTTCAGGCACTGGCAATGAGCACGGTTCAGATACATCACCCACAGGGTTGCGAAGTCCCAAAGGGAGGTAAGACAGAAGACGGGACCAAATAGTGCACCGCTAACAGGGAGATTGGAGCCCCTTGGGCTTCACTAGGGTGCACTTCCTGACACGACTTACCTGATAGCTAAAGTCAGACTGTGGTACCAGCGCGACAGCTCCTCCTGGTCTGTGGACATAAGCAGCAGCTTCTCGTGGGGGAAGGACAGCTGGAGAGAGACCACCTCTTAGGGCAGAGCCTGGAAATTCCCAGGTTACAGCTGGAGCCTGTGCTACCCCCACTGAGGTGACGCAGGCATGAAATAGAAAGCTGTCCTCCCCCAATGTGAACAGCACAATTCCTATGGCGGCAGATAGATAGACAGTCTACATGGGATGGACCGGGCCTCCCCAAACCTTACCTCATGGTCCTCTCCTGTTACTTACACTAAGCAGTCCACCACAAGGGCCTTCTGAGTGACCAAAGACCCTGTGGAGTTGACACTGGGCCATGGGGTAGAGGGCCTGGCAGGCAAAGGTGCCACTCTGCAGCAGGTGCAAGGGGGGCCGAGGCTTGGCCCTCAGGAGCAGATCGGTGAAGAGGAAGAACATACGGGGCCGAGGCTCCCCACGGGGAGGCACCACCAGCAGCCAACCCTGACGCAGGAACCAGCGCCCTAGGGTGTGAGGAACGTTCTTACTGGAAAAGTAGCTGAGGAAAATAGAAGGTAGGTGCTAGCCCTAGAGGGAGGGAGAGGTAGATAGGGGGTTGAGCAGCATTCCCCAGCCCCACTTCATTGGAACGTCAGCATGTGCCCGTGTTAGGAAAAGGGGGCACACTGCAGATGGAACCATCAGGTAAAGATCCTGGGAGTAAATCTTCCTGGTTTAAGGTGGGCTCTAAATTCAGTTGGTAGCCTCAGAAGAGTAGACAGGAAACGAAGCCAGTGAAGACTGAGGCAGGGGTTGGAGTGAGGGTCTATAAGTCAAAAGAACACCTGAGGTCACCGGAAGCTCCAAGAGGCCAAGATTCTTCCCTAGAGCCTTTAGCAGACACAGGGCCCAGAACTGAGAGGGATGTTTTCACTGTTTCAAGAGACCTGCTTTACTGTAACTTTGTTACCGCAGCCCTCCGGGGAACTAATGCAGGAGTAGGACTGGGGAGTGAGCATTCTGCAGATTACCTGAGGTAAGCCCCTTTGCCTGGCGGCCACTGAGCAGAGCCTGAACACGCTGTAGGTGCTGTTCATTCTTCTGCCTCTGACCGATAGCATTGACGTGCTGGGCGGTCTCACTGATCAGCCGGGCGGCCCCTGGAAGAAGATCCCTGGTACTACTCCCATCATGACTTAGGAGGATACAGGTGGTGAAAGAGGCTCAGGGCTATCCTGGAGTGGACCTGGGCCAGGGTCTAACTTCTTGAAATGTGGGTGGGGAATTGTGGACACATTCGGCGTGTCAATAGAAGTCAGGGGCATGGCGAACATTCCACATGTAAATGAAGACGGGCATGGCGAACATGGCTGGGAGGTCAGACCTAGGAAGGGGTACAGGCCATGGAGGAAGAGGTACCTACGTGTGAGCTGCTGGTGGTCAGGGCTGTTAGGACCTGTGTTTTCAGCCAGAGCAACAACGAGATTTTCATACCTGGAATCAGACAGAGGTCTGTGAGGAGCAGGACTGGGCACAATCTCACCTGCCTGACAGAGGAACACCCCCCCACACACACACATACACATGCTTGAGTTGGAAAGCTGTGGCATTCGCTCCTGCAATCTCACACTGCGACCCTGGCTCACACCACATGGCCTTCCTCCATTTCCCACCCTGAAGAGTCCAGGGCAGCGGGTCCTGAGTATTAAATGATGCTCCACATGTCCCTCCCCCTCTGTCCAGGGCCTCCTATCAGGATCGCTCTGAGTGATCAACAGCAGTTGGGCACCATCCAGTTCATGTCTCAGGGTCATGTCGGCCGGGGTTCACACACTCCATTTGTCTGCTGCACTGGTGGTTGCCATGCATCTGTAATTGCCCTCATCTTTAGTTTCGGAGAGGGACAGACCAATAGTTGCCCTCAGATGGCTGCTCATAAGCTTTTAAGTCCCCGGTTGCTACTTAAAGTTGGATGTAGGCCATTTTTTATTTGTAGACTATGTTATGACGTTGATGTCCCTAAGGCTGTGATCCTGAGCCATGGGTATGTGGTTTCAGTGTATTATGTTTTCATAACTGTGCCCCCTGCATCCTCTCCTATATTCATGGATATCTCTGTAGCCCACATAGTACGTATGTAGAAGTAGCCTCTGTCAAACCTATATATATTTGTGGGTGCATATTTACTCCTAAAAAAAAAGTTGATAGCCATTTGGCCCAGGGGAGAGGCACGTAATTAGGACAGATCCCAAAACTGTGGGGAGCAGACTCAGCAAGGAGGTAGCCTGAGTCTGGGTGAGTTCACTCACTGCTGGAGCCGCTGCAGTGGCAGCGGGAGCAAGTCCTGGAGTTGAAGGCCTGAGAATTCCGGCCGCCCTTCCTGAAGCTGCACAAACCTTCGGAAACGTTTGTTTTTCTTTAGCTGCTCCTGGAATCAGGGAGGAAGGGGCAGCATCGGGGAGCAAAATAATTCCTTATATTGCATTTATCTGTGTACCCAATCCTAGCCTGAGCGAGCTTGTGTGCCCCTGGGAAACCCAGCCTACCCCCAGAGCAAGAGCTAGACACCTGGAGGGCTATAATTAAAGGAGCCAGATGAATCCCCTTTCAGTCTCCAAATGACTGAAGGTGTGAGGCAAGAGGGGGACATAGGGGTGTGTCTGGAGTCCTCTCCTGGTTACCTGCAGGGTGATCCGGGACTTTTCTGCGTTGGCAGCAAACTGGGTGTAGAGCTCCAGGTGGGAGCAGAAGCTCTCCAGCCCCTGTCCCCAGTGCCCTCCTTCGAGGTAGGGAAGCAGGTCCCTGTGTGGACAAAGACAATAAAGGAGCACTACCTTATTCAATCCCCTTAACCCTGTTCCAGAAGCTGCGCTACTACGACGTCTTCCAGAGAAAGAAACCAGGGCCGGTTAAGGCACCAGGCTGAGGCCACAGGTGAGGCGCCTGGTCCACTCCTAGTATAATCTTGGACTTGCCCCACTCCGAAACCTGGGCTCCCCCCTCCAGCCCGCTCTCCCCGCGCCCCTGCCACTTACTGGCTGGCGCCGTAGATGAGCTCCCAGGGCCCAAACAGGGCCTGGCGCTCTGGGAGTCGCAGGGTCCCCTTGGCTCGCAGGATCCCCAAGAAGTACTGGGGAAGGAGAAAACATTTGCACCACAGTCTAATGAGGCAGAAGATGCTAGCGCCGAGGTGCAGCTAGGAGCATGCAGGCAGACGGTAATGTCCCGCCATCCTCGAGTCACTGACCTAGGGACGCTCCCTCCCGCACCTCGGGGCCCCCGCCCGCACCGTGGCCACCAGCCCCAGTTGCTCCTGGTAACGTCGCTCGGTCTCCAGCAGCTCCCGGGCAGTGCAGGCGCGTTTCCGCGCCCAACGGGCGCGCTGCTCCTGCAGTGGGCACCTCGCGCCAGGGTAAGGGGTCCCCATGGCCAGCCGGAGGGGTCTGCCCTTCCGGCCGCAGCCCGCCGGAGATTCAAATCCCAACGCTCCGGGGCGGGGCCTCGGGACGCGGCCTAAGGGACAGCGCGCCCCCTGGCGCCTGGAGGCTGCGGCGTGCGCGGCGGCCCACAGCCCCCTCCGTCTGCCGGCCGCGGCCCGGGCCCACCGCCAGGGCGGCGCTCGAGGTCCGCGGCGCCGCGGGGGCGGAGCCAGGAGGGGCAGGGCTTATGCCCGGGCCCAGGTAGGACCCTCCCCTCCCCCGCCGCCACCGTGAGTCGCCTGGAGCTGGACCGCAGCCGGGCCTGTACTGTGGAGACTTGCTGGTGCCCACCCGGCAGGGTCTCCACGTCTCGTCTGTAGAACCGGGGAGGGATTGAAAGTTTCGTTAGATGCCCATGCCGGACGCAGGGAGCCGTCAGTCCTTCCCACTGCATTCACTACTAGGAAACAAGCTCGTCGAGGTTTGACCTTGCTTGGCCTCTGGACAAAAGTTTGTAGGTTTTACGTCTCTAACTTGTTTTCTCGTTTCGTGCTGTTTCCAAACCTGGCAGCCAATTAGCTTGTGGTCAGCAGGTGTAGATAACCAGCCCAGTGGTACCTGATTGCTGTAATGCCGACCAAAGGCAAAGGCTTTGAGTTGATTAGTCAAAGATTGAACAAAGCAGAGTCTCCTTTTGAAAGACTGGCAGTAACCTTGGAGGGTAAATTGTGTGCCTCTGTCTCAGAAACATGAAGGTACACACACTATTTTGACGGAGCAGTTCCCTCTCTAGCAATGCAACCTCACCAAGCAGAGGTGTGGATAAGAATGTGTGCCGGAAGCTGCGTGTAGAATCACAATGCTGTTTATAGCAACAGAGGACTGGCAGCCACCTGAATGTCCAGCGGTAGAGAATTGGTTAAGAACATGATGGTACAACATTTGATGGCATGATATGAAAGTGTTGAAAATAATCTCGTGGAAAACTATCAAGAGGAAAAATGCACTCAACAGATATGTGTGTCTTTTTTAGCATTCATTGTGAATTGATTGTAGTCTCCACGATGTAACATCATGTATCCGGCTTCCTCCCTGTGTCTCCTGGTTCCATACCTCCTTTCTGGACCCTTCTGAACTGCGTCCGTAAGTACCTGCTGCCCTTCTAATCCACATGGCTGGTTATCCTAAGGCGTCTGAACCTCACTAGTGTTACACCCCCTTATCGATCTGCCTGTGCTGACTGAACATGGAGCACTGAAGGTGAGTTCATTTCTAGATCGGAGGGGTGACCAAGGCCAGAGTCTCAGGAGTTCCATTTGTCTCTATGTGGCCATCGAGCTTGGTCTCTTATGATTTTGAGTTTTGTTCCACATGTTTCTCACACTCTATCCCAAACCTTCTAATATGATCTCTTTCACAGCAATTGGTGGGAATAGCCAAGCACCGCCTAATCCTTCTGTTCTCACCATGGAAATGGCTGTTCGTGTGGCCCAGTCACCCGCAGCTGCTTCCAGGCACCTTCTTTCCTCCAAACAGGGAGAGACCAATCGTTGAGATTTAGATGGCCACTCTTGAGTTTGTAAGACCCTATACACAATCTTCTGAGAGGAGAGGAGAGAAGAAAGAAAAAACAAACATAACTGGCTACCAAGTTGTACACTGTCATCCAATGGCTTAATAAACAAATGCATATGTATATATGATTTGTTTATATATATATGATTTGAAGAGTAAACACTGAACAAGTTCATTGTGACTTTCTTTGTATCTAGGTGGTAGGATTAAAGCGCATTTATTCTGTAATATTAAACTCCTGATCAATGTCAGACATTGAGACACTCAAAGGGTGAATGGGGCAAATGAAGTGTTTTTAAAATTCCCTTATGCTTTTCTTTCCATGCCCCCATGCCACCCCCTCCCAACTGCCAACATTTTCTGCATTAAGCATGACTTTGTAATTGGCTAAAACTTAAAACAGAATGTTAGACACTTTACACCTATGTCTACCATGTGGATCTCCAGGAGTCTAGTGCCGGAACTATCAGGGAACTATCCCAAATCCAGGGAACTATCAAGGTCCTGAAGTCCCTTTTAGTTCTGGCATTCTAAGCATTTTGAGGAAGAAGTAATGCTGAGCTGGTCAGGGAGTGGCAACTTGGGGGCTTGGACGGAGGCAAGGGGGCTCTCAATCAGACTGGGCTCAGGTCCCAAGGAAACTGGTGATACTTGTTTCAGCTGAGTGTGGGACAGGCCGCATTAAGAGGTGAGGTGTGGGAAAGGGCATTATTCCATGGTGTCTGTCACCAGGAGCCCAAGGATGGGAACACAGCACAGTCCCGGGGGTCGAATTGGGGATGGATGTGCTTGACTGTGTATGACTCTGACATGGGCAGGGGACAAGGGATGGGAATAGAGTGTACTGTGCACTCCAATGGGGGAATCACCCAGCTCTGGAGGAAGAAGAGGTCCAAGCTGAGAAGTCATCCTGAAAATACGTGGAGATAACTGGCTCCCTGGGGACCAAGTCTCCCATAGAGCAAACCAGGCATACCACATTCCCCCTAGGGATGGATGCCCCAAAGCCAAAAGAAAGAGCTACTGGGGGAGGATAGCAGGAGGCAGCCAACCAGCTTTTTATCCTACTCACCTTCAACCTCTGCTTTCAACTCAATGGACACTTTGGATACTAATCCTCAATCGTTCCATCAGACTTAAGGCCTCTCATGGGTCAGGTGCTCTGCTGAGCATGGGCATGACTGGTGAACAAGAGAAACGTGACCCTGCCCTCATGTCCCTCACAGTCTAGCACGACAGGCACCATAAGAAGTCACCGTAGAATGTGATGAACACTACAGGGGCCGCAGAGGCCACCATGCAACGGCAGGATGAGGGAACGAAGCTTGTCTAGGAGTTAGGGGAGGGTTTTTGGAGAAAGTGACTTGAAATGACAACCCAAAACCACACTGAGATAAAAGCTGGTGGAAGTGGGGAGCTGTGGAAAGGAGACAACATGTACCAAGACTTGGAGGTTAAAAAAAGAAAGAAAGAAAACAAAACAGGTGTGCAGTGCATTCAAGGAACTCCTAGGCCTTCCCGAAGGTCAGAGAATATAGGGGACAAATGATGAGAAAAAAGAGACAAGAGAAGTGGCAGAGGCCAAATCATGGAGGGGATTTTTCTGAGGAAGACGATTTCCGTTGAAAATCATAGTCAATGCAAAGTGCCAAACAAAATGTAAAAGATCAGATGCCGCAATGTACCCAAGTGTTGTTCCCCTTATCCTCCAGCAATTCAATCATGCCACCACGGACCGCTTTCCATCGGCTTCCTGTGGTGTTTGTCATGTCCAGCAAAGAGTAAGTGGGTTTTCTCAGCCACCAAATGCTTCACTCCGTTGTTGTTGTTGTTGTTGTTGTTGTTCGGAGCCTTTGAGTCAGCTCTGACTCAGAGCGGCCCCGTGGACAACACCACCCAACACTGCCCAGTCCTGCACCACCCGCTCCGTCATTGCTGTTTGCGCCCAGGGTTGCAACCAGGGTGTCAGTCCATCTCGTTAAGGGTCGTGTTGTCCTTTTCCAGGGACTCGTCTCTCCAGAAAACACATCCAAAGTCCAGGCGACATCTCATCATCCTGCTTTCTCAGGAGCGTCTGACTGACTTCTTTCAAGACAGAATCTTCTTGTTGTTCTGGCATTTCACGGTACTTACTTTCAATAGGCGCTGCCAACGCCCGTAATTAAAACGTGCCAATTCTCTCGCAGTCTCTTTATTCATTGTCCCATTTTCACATGCACACGAAGTGATTGAAAATACCATGACTTGAGTCAGGCACATATTATGAGTCTTCAAAGGGGCAGCAGCTTTGCCCAACGTACACTGCAGACTTCCCCAGTCATCAAACGCTTCCCTGTGTTTCGACCAACTGTTCAGACTAACTGATCTCGCAAGTCCGTGATGGAGGCCAGAGAAGCCTTCGGACCCCATAGGAAATACTTTGGATGTTTCCCTAAGGGCAATGGGACGTCACAGAAGGGTCTTCAGCGGAGAGTGAGATGATGAGATAGATCTCCATTGCAGAAGGTTGTTCTGGCCAGATGGAGTCCCCAGGCCCCATGAAGAGGCCAGGTAAGAGGTGATGGAAGTGTTGACGAGGATGAAATGTGCCTGAAAAATTAAGAGGGGAGAATCCCCAGGGCTTGGTGGTCACAAGTGAAGGAAATGAAGAAAGCCAAGATAGTGGCAGGTTTCTGGCTTGAGCCTCTGGGTGGAGGACGGTGCTTGCTGCCACCTGAAGAAGGAGATCTTTTGGTAGGGAATTTCCACCTGGGACCCATTGACTTCCGATAGTGTGGCACGTCTACCTAGGGCTGTCTACTAGGCAGGAGGTTATGGGTTTGACACGAGGACTAGGAGGAGTCCAGTATGGGGTGCCTGGCTGGGAAAGGGTGAAAGGGTCTATGAAGAGTAGGAAGAGGGTCAAGCTCAGAAGGCAGGTGAGCTTTTGCCAGTCCTTTCTCCCATGTCATGGCAGGAGGAGAAGGGGGACCGTTCTTCCCTACCCCACCAATCAATAGCTCCTTCCTCTGCAGCCCTGGGGTGTACAGTGGCATGTTTGAGTAACATGACCCCTCAGTGTCTGAAGACACTGACCTAATGAACAAAAGTTTGGTCTTAAACAACCACGCAGAGGTCCTGGGTCAGGCAAGCGTGGCTGGCTCTGTGGATCATTCCTGAGCACACCCTGTCCCAGCCTGGGGAAGATCAGGAAACAGGAACCTGGGAGCTCAAACCTGTTTGAAGCTTTGGCAGACTCCCAGCTGTGAAGGTAGGGTTCAGGGTCAGAGTCTACAGTCTCCACTCAGAACCGGAGACGCACAGTCACACAGACTCAGAACAGAGAGCTAGAGAAAGATGGGACCACAGAGAACGTTTGTAAAAATAGTTGTAATAGATAGAACTCTCCATATAGAGGCAGATCTGTCCTCTGAAATACTGAGAGAAAGACAGATGTATAGAGTATTCCAGGGAGGTTGAGGTAGTTAGTTTATTGTGCCAACCTGGCTGATAAACACATGTGGGGTTAATTGAAGGACGGAGGGATAAATGGCTCGGTGAGCCTCGCCTTTCGAATTCTCAGGTCTCTTGCTTTCTGATGGTTACACCAGGGTGCAGCTGCCTTAGCCAGTTCCCTGCTTCAGCTTGCAAGGCTCACTTCCTGCAAGACATCCCTGAGGAGAAGCCACATGGACCTGCCCCGATGCAGCCTGGGTGCTGGAGCAGCCGTGTGGAGACCCCTGCCTAGGCTGAGATATTTACACATTCACTGACTCGGCTTTCCTCCTGCAGTCAGCATCATTGGGTCTGTTTTGTGAGATGGAGGAAGACTTTGTGGATTGGGGTTGGACTTGTGGGCTTGGGCAGCACTGGGTTAGGATGTTTTCTTGATGCACACTTAACCTTTATATGAAACTCTCTTATACATGAGTTTCTGTGGATTTGTTTCTCTAAAGTACCCAGACTAAACTAACACAGAGGTGTACAGAGAGATTCTGAGAGAATGGAAAAGAACCAAGAGTGAGAGGGAAACAATCAGAACATTTGGGAAAAGGAGCAAAATTGAGGTGTCCAGACATATAGATTCCAGACTCTAGTTAATAGGATGCTTCTGTCCTTTGTGCTCTATGCATTCTTCCACTTTAATGAGATTAGTTGCTACTACATTCTGTTTTATACAGGCCCACCCAGTTCAGAGGACCACTTGCTCTCAGGATCCAAGCATGGTGCTGGCAACACAACTGACCATCCAGCGTGCAGAATGGGTCAGATGCTGTGGAGGGCTCTTATTTGGTCCACCGATGACAACGTAGAGTCCATTTGGCTGCCTACTTCCCAAGATAACTGTTTGGACGACAGCTTGGTTCATCTGTACAAGCTTTGCTATGCAATACGGCAATCACTTTGACATAACAGATTAGTTCAGGTGCCACAGTCGAGTGATCTGATACTCCTGGAGTAGCTGTGCTTTGACGTACGTGCTGTTGGCCATGAGCTCCTGGAGGGCGTCTTAGTCGGTTAGGAATTCCTCAGCACCCAAGGTGCTCTGAAAGGAGAAAAGGTTCTACAGCGGTTGTTAAACGAAAGACTAAATCAATTAAATATTGGACCCTGGCCTCACATGGTTCAGGCTCTTAGAACAGATAAAACATGGCCATAAATCACCCTGATATGCATTCGATGGTGGACAGGGTCATTAGCAAGGCCAGGCAAAGAGAACCGGGGACCAGGGGACACCAAAGGTCTCTTCCTGACTGGGGATCAAGAAGGTGCTGAGAAAGGTGTCCAAGGGCAGCCTTGAAGATGAGTCTTGGAGAGTAAGAGGGATTTAAACGGGGAGATATTAAAAATTCAAAATAGTTGCAACCCCAGGTACACAAACACTGAACCAGGAGAATGAGAACTGCCTGAGGTGGCATTCAAGTAGGGTCCTAGGGCCCTTCATGAGCCAAGCTTTATCCACTTAGTTGAGGGATTGCGAGGAAGCCTGGAGGGCCACCAGTAGGAAGGGGTAGTATGGGGCCGCTGAGGTCTGGGGGCTTCTACTATTTACCAATAGGGATGGGAACTTTTCAACACCTTGAATTAGCCTACAACCATACAGGCATGTACCTACTGAATATTAGCCTTAGGGATGGACCTCCTGAGATGGCCTTGCTAGAATGTCAACAACAGAAAAGTTGAGGTCGTTCTGGGTCAATGCCACCTCCCCTGGGGCCTAGAACAGTGTGTGGCATACTGGAAAAGGGGCAACAAATGTTTGTTGGATGAAGAAACTGACTGGGAGCCCCAAGCTCATGCTTAGGGTCCTGTCGCTATTCCAGCTCGTCATCTCCTTGCACCCAGTTCATGCTTCATACAAGCCCTCGACATGATCCTATCTGAGAATTGATCTGGTCACTTTCCTACTCAAAACACGCAAGGTTTCTCTTTTGCTTAGGAGGGCTGGTGACACGTCGGGTAAGCATGGGACTGCTCACTGCAAGGCTGGCAGCTCAAACCCAACCGCTCCTTGGGAGAAAGATGAGACCATCTGCTTTTGTAAAGATTTACAGCCCTGGGACCCCTGAAGAGGGGTCACTATGAGCTGAAATCGACTCCAGAGCAATGGGGTACCTTTTGCTTATAGGATGAAATACCAAACTTCTTATCGTTTTCAAGGCTCTGCACCTCCACGTCTTGCCCTTTCATCTGTCTTTACCATTCTGCCTCTCAGGCAGCTGTACAGAAACCATGCCATGGTGTTCTCATGCTACACCTGGAAGGCCATTTTCTCCGTTGCTCTTAGCAATGGAACTGCTCCTTCTTCAAGGTCCTCATCAAATTTTGTCTTCCTCTTTTTCACCATTTGAGGCAGAATGGATCACTCTATCTCCTAACCATTGTCATTGTGATGTTTGCTTCCACTGGAACATGAGCTCCCCAAGGGCCGGGACTGTATCCCAGTCGATAGCCCAGTGTCTGACATGCAAGGGCAGGTCCAGCATATTACTACTAGGGTTCCAGTGCACCCATCTTGCTGTTCAGTACCACTGGCCAGCGCCAGCTCACAGGGACCCTGCGTACCACAGAACGAAGCACTGCCCAGTCCTGCACCATCTTCACAACTGTTGCTATGTTTGAGTTCCCTGTTGTAGCCACTGTGTCAATCCATCTCATTCGGAATTCTCCTCTTTTTTACTTGCCCACTGCTTTCCCTAGTTGTGCGAGGGGGTATCCAGAGAAACCCGGAAAAAAGGTCCACTGGGCAGAGCTTTTGTAGTACACATCGTTCCCACTAGGTGAGCATCGAACAACTCGCTGACTTAGTGCATCCAGTGTCATCTCCTGGGAAAGTTCTCTCTGGTCACAGCAAATTTTTGTTTACAAGCAGTTTCACTCGAACCTCATATTTTGTGTGTGTGTGATGACTGACTTAAGAGAACAGTGTGTGGCTGCGAAATTTTGTTTACTGCTCAGGAAAAAATGCCCCAGAAACTGTTGTGATGTTGAACACAGCTTACAAGGACAGCGCTATGGGAAAAATTCAAGTGTGCGAGTGGCTTTTCTCATTTCAAAAAAGGTGAAATGGTGATTGATGACAATCCTCATTTCGGATGTCCATCAACTTCCCGAGCGGACGAAAACATTGACTTGTAGTGCATTTGGAGTTTGTTCCACCAGATCAGTTTATTAATCAAGCTTTCTATTTAGAGGTTCTGGAAAGGTTGTGTAACAGCGTGCAACAAAAAGCCCTGATTTGCTAGATGGGGGACTGGTTTTGGCATCAGGACAATGCACCTGTTCATGCAGCCATCTCAGTGCACCAGTTTTTGGCAAAAAACAGCTTGCCTCTCTTGGCCCACGCACCTTACTCACCTGACCTTGTCCATGAGACTTCTTTTTGTTTCTGTGACTGCAGGGGGACATGAAAGGACAGCGATTTGACGACTTAGAAGAGGTAAGAAAAAAAATGAGGGAGGTGCTGTCAGCCATCCAAACAGATGAGTTTGAAAAATGTTTCCAAGAGTGGAATCGCATATTTGACAAATGTATTAAGTGTAATGGAGAGTACTTTGAAGGCGATAAGGTTATATATATATATATATATATATATATATATATATATATATAATCATTTTATTAGGGGCTCATACAACCCATCACAATCTGTAAGGTTATATATTTTTAAAAAACATTTTATTGGGGGCTCGTACAGCTCTTATCACAATCCATACATGTATCCATTGTGTCAAGCACATTTGTACATATGTTGCCATCATCATTTTCTAAACACTTTCTTTCTACTTGAGCCCTTGGGATAAGGTTATTTTGTTTAAAAAATTATATAGCTTTGAAAAAATTCCGGGTGTGCTTTTTTGGGGGGGTTCCCCTCTTCCCAGGCTGTCAATAGTCTGGAAGCTCCATTGAAATCTCATCCCCGAGGGTGACTTGCTGGTGTCTGAAACCACCAGCGACAGATGGTCCAGCATCACAGCACACTGGGGACTTCATACAGGCATTGCTCGTTCTAAACAGAAGGTGGTTCAGCATGCCTCTGTGACACGTGGTTGGCTATCGGCAAACCCTCTCAGTCACACACTTGTCTTAGTCTCCTTGGAGTGCCTCCCAAGGAAGATGTAAATCAGCCCCTCTGGAGAGGTCTATGGGCCCACTTAAAATCAGGGCAGAGAAGTCAGCTCTGAAGGTCTGTTGGTTGCTTTTGTTTTTGGATTCCAAAGGGGTGATCTATGACACAGGACAGTCCTAAGGTCTTATTATGAAGATTTTTGTCTGTAATCATTTTATTGGGGGCTCATACAACTGATCACAATCCATCCATCCATTGTGTCCAGCACATTTGTATATTTGTTGTCATATGAAGATGCTTTGAGAAAATAGAAAACTGCATCGATGAGGGAAAGGCCAGGCAAGTTGCAGGAGGCACTTTGGGCATCATGACAATGCGCCTTTCCATTCTTGGAGGCAGCAAGGGCGGTCCTGTGAGAATTGCATTGGGAAACCTTACCCATCCACCCTACAGCCCTGATCCGGCCCCTTCACGCTTCTTTTTGTTCCCCCAAAGGAACGCAATTTCAGGCCTTTGCGGGTGCCCATACTGCCGTTTTGATGCGGTATAAGTTATGGGCAGCGAATTCTTTGGGGAGGAGAATCAGAGAGAGAGGTGGGAGCATTGCTTTCAGAGGTGTGTCGACCTAGATGGGGAAAACAATAGCCTCGCATTTTGATATTTTTGTTTAATAAATATTTCTGTGATTTTGTAGCAACTTTTTTTTACTTATCCGCATATATTAAGTACTAAGTAAAATTTGGCTGAATTCAACAGTGTGGAGCATCCAGGCACCAAGAACAAGATGAGCAAAGGCAGTAAAAGGCTTTCGGAGAAAGGAATCATTTAATTTAGCTGAAGTATGGGAAGGAAAGGAGAGGCGACAAGCTTATGAAAGGACTTGGAAGGTGACTGCAGGGAGATGGTGGAGCTTATTCCAGTAGGCGGTGGGCAGCCAAGGAAGGTTGCTAAGCAGCAGAATAAAATGAGGCGTTTAGTTTAAACCCATCCAAGTCCCTGTCATGCATATATAGATATAGATAGCATATATACTCGAGTATAAGCCGAGTTTTTCAGCACATTTTTAATGCAGTTTTTGTGGTAAAATTAGGTGCCTTGGCGGATATTCGGGTTGGCTTATACTCAAGTATAAACGTGTGTGTGTGTGTGTGTGTGTGTGTGTGTGTGTATTGTCTTCCATTGACACTCAGGTGGACCTCACACTCACCCATCCACCCAGCCACCTACTCACCTTCAGGCTCCCCCAGCACTAGCCTTACCCCCTCACCCTGGCTCCCTGATTGGGCCAGAGATGCCTGTATGGGCTGTTTCCCCTCTGCCAGAGGACATGGGGGCCTCAGCTCCTGTTTTTCCCCTTCCCTGCCTGGAGCTGGGAAGTGGGCCAAGATTAGGTGAGGCTGGCTGGCAAGCTACGGGTGGTGCCAGGGAGAGCCCGTATAGTGCCAGGTAGTGCCTTGTGTCCCAGGCTGAGCCCATGACCCCGATAACACCTGCCCCCACTCCACCCGGACCCAGCCTTTGGTATAGGGGAGGGGGCACAAGGCTCACACCGACCTGCGGGACTTTGGCTCCATCTCTACCAAAGGGCATTCTGTGAGTCAGCCTACTCCCCTCCAGGCTCGCTCCTCCCCCACCGGCTCCTATTTCCTATGCACGTACAACCCGTGCACATCGTGTCCCGGTACATCCCAGAGCTAGCAGCATGGCTCCCCAGGGCCTCAGTCCCTGGCCCCCTTTGTCCACGGGGACCCCCGCCCTGGGGCCCCCTTGGCAACTACTGCTGCTGCTGCTACTCCTGGTGCCTGCCCATCCCCAGACACTGCCCCGGATGCAGGAGACCACCCCCAGCAAAGGAGATTCCTCTGGGGAAGATGTTCCACCTGGCAAGGAGTCGGACAGCCGGGAGGACCAGCTCACTGAAGTGGACCTGCCTGGGGATTTATCGGAATGGGAGCGGCCACCTGGAGAGGGACAGCCACCGGAAACTGAGAACAGCCCAGGGGAGGAGGACTCCCTGAAGTTAGAGGGTCTACTCACCAAGGCTCCCCCGAACAGTGAAGGCCCTCAAAATAACGCCCATGGGCAAAGGAAAAGTAAGTAGCCCCCAGTGCTCCAAATCTAGACTCCAGGAGGTTCCTAACCCCCCCCCCCCCCCCACCAATGCCCCTGCACAGACAGGCCTGCTTCAGGGAGGAGACCCAAAACCGGCTGCTGAGTTGACGCTGACTCACGCAAGGCAGCACTGTGCACGGCAGGGAATAACTGTGCTCGGCAGGGGTTGTCAGGGAATGACTTTTGTGGAAGTAGGTCATTTGGACCTTTCGTTCGAGGTGCCTCTGTGCCAACTTGGAGGGTCTAATTTTTCAGTCATCTGTTTGTAGCTGCAGGAATTCTCAGGGGAGGAGAGGAGCTCACACTCTTGACAGGAGCTCCCCAATTCCAGGGGCTTCATTATCCATAGATCCTTTCTCCCTTTCAAAGCTACAAGATGGGGGCAGGCTGGTGGGGGAGGGAGTTTACAGAGTGGGGAGGGGTTGGAGAGAAGGGAGAGAAGGGAGAGGTTGAAGAAGAGTAAGAGATGGAGAAAATATAGTTTAAAAAAATTTTTATGTGGAAAGGGAGAGGGAAGATTGAGGGTGCCGGCCGAGGAAGAACAGGAGGGAGCTGTAGAGACTTCTTCTCAGATGCAGTCTATAGACCAGGAGACCATGGAAACAGCCAAGAAGGAACTTTGGGAAATGAGTTTGAGACCAGAACGGCGAGAGAGGAGATGGGGAGGGGATGAGTAAGGGAGAAAGGAATGGCTGGGGGCGTGGGGGAGGGAGCTGAGGCCCCACAGCCGACTTAGAAACCTAAACACAGTAAATAGCTCCCCTGGTACCCAGGGCAGTCAGTTTCCCTTGGCTGTGGTGGTGCTTGACTGACTGCCTAGGCTGCGCTCCATTTACACTGGGCCCCTTCAGGCATTTCTGTGACCTGCTAGGCCCCCTGTCGGGTATTTGAGTGTGTGAACCCCAGTTGGGGAGGAGGGCCCACCTCATTCTGGCCCTGGGGAGGGATTGAGCTCTAAGACTTTTCTCATTTATGCAGGGGGTGGCCACAGTCAATGGCGCTATGGAGGTGAGCACCCCTTCTTTCTCTCCCCGACCTCCCAGCCCCGTCTCTGCCGCACAGACCCACTCTGGGAACCCAGATGTGCTGCCCTGTCCCATAGTCACCCTCAACCCTGGGCGCCCCAAGCACCACCCCAGCCTCTGCCAGTCCTGCCCAAACCCCTGATCTCTATCTGCCGCTCTGACACTCCCTGACCCCACCCCTCATTTGCTCTGCCCGGGATCCCTAAAACTACCTGTCGCTGACCTTGTCCCCAGACCTCCTGACCATCCCCTCCCACCCTAGGCGGCCCGCCCTGGGTTCAGGTGTCCTCAGGCTGTGCAGGTCGCTTCCAGTCCCCGGTCGACATCTACCCCGAGCTGGCCGCCTTCAGCCCTGCCCTGCAACCCCTGGAACTCATGGGCTTTGAGCTCCCGACACACCCAGAACTGCGCCTTCGAAACAATGGCCACAGCGGTGAGGGGTGTGGGCGGAGCCTCGGGGAAGGGGCGGGACCATCCCGGGCGGCGGCTGTGGGCGGGGCGGGGCCCGGCTTACCGCCCCTCCCCCCGCAGTGCAGCTGACTCTGCCCCCCGGGCTGGAGACAGTCCTGGCTCCCGGGCGGGTGTACCGGGCCCTGCAGTTGCATCTGCACTGGGGGGCCGCGGGTCGCCCCGGCTCGGAGCACATGGTCAGCGGCCACCGCTTCCCTGCCGAGGTGAGCGCGGGGCTGGCCGCCGAGTGGCGAAGGGGTGGCGGTGGGTCAGAGATCTGGCCCACTCCTTCACTCCGGTCCTCTGCAGATCCACGTGGTCCACATCAGCACTGCGTTCGCCAACGTGAGCGAGGCTTTGGGGCGCCCGGGGGGTCTGGCGGTGTTGGCGGCCTTTCTGCAGGTACCCCATTCCCCGCTTTTCCCCGTGTGCCTCTAGAGAGCATCCCTGCACACCTGCACACACCCTGACACCTGGCCAGGGGCTGACGTCCTTCATTCCGCACCCTCCTTCAGTAGTTCAAGTCCACTGCGTCATCCTCTGGTTCATCTGACTCAGAAGACCCTGGCTAGGACTGGGCAGGACTGACCCCAAGGCTGTAAGCTTTAGGGGAGGAGTCTTGGTGGCAGGGTGAGGGACATGGTCACCTGGTCCGCAGTTAACATAGAACAAGGGATGGAGGGGAGGGGGGCAGGAGGCGGGGAAAGACCAGCTTTGTGTTCCCATCAAAATGTACAGCCTTGGAAACCCAAAGGGTTAGTTCTACTCTGTCCTAGAAGGTCTCTAGGGGTCAGAGTCGACTCCGTGGCATTTGAGGGTGTTTGGGGTTTGTTTTTTTTTTTTGCTTGCGTTTTTTAGTTGGAGTAATCTTTAGGGCAGCAGATTGCCACACCTTTCTCCTGCAGAAGGGATGATGGGGTGGAGTCAATGACCTTTAGTTAGCCATGACGTGCTTAAGCGCTGGGCCACCAGGGCTCCATTTGAGACATCTACCAAGGACACAGACAACACGAGATGACCAAGGGAGGCTTCACGGAGGAGGTGACCGTTGAAGCTTTCACTGTTGGGGAAAAAAAGGGCATTGTCCGTGCAGTGGGGAAAGTTTATGGAAAGACCCAGAATCCAGGGACTAGCAGATGCTGTAGACTCAGCACCAGTCAGAATCACTTCTGTAATACTCCTGGAGCCAGCGATTTCCCCACTGTGGAGTGCGTTCAATTCTAGATGAGTCCTTAGTGGCCACTTTGGACTCTGGATGATGGAGTCTGCAAACCAGATGGTAGAGATCGCTGGGGTGCCAGGGGAGAGACACACCAGCTGGGCTCACTCACTCACCCGATGCACCAAGTGCAGAGAAACGCCTCCCAAGCAGCATGTCAGGTGACTTTGCTCCAAAAGTCCCACACAATGAAGGAGCTTGCAGGGGTAACTGGAAGACAAAGCTGCATTAGGGTTTCTGGGTGTTTTATGTCTGAGTGGAGTGTGGAGTGTGTAGCAGTAGCTTTGAGTGAGACTGGAAATGTTATTACGTTCCACATCCTTGGAGGCTTGTTTCCTACTCTAGTTGCTCCACTTCCCTCTTCCACTCCAATTTGCCGTTGAAAACCAGTCCACCAAGCTTGTTAAGATAGCTTGCAAAGTAGGAGTTGAGGCACTTTGGAGTAATAATACAGAAGATTTTGGTCCCCTCTGCATTCTCAGAGCTAAGGAGTAGGGGGACTCTGGGAACCAGCCCCACCTCCGCTTCGGTCATCTAGCCATGGCCCTAGATCTATGTATGGTCTGTCTGCACTGTCCTCTCCCAGGAAGGTCCAGAAGAAAACAGTGCCTATGAGCAGTTGCTGTCACATTTGGAAGAAATCGCTGATGAAGGTCAGTTGCTCATGTCTGGCTACTGCCCTCCGTCCATCCCTTGTTTATATAAAACACCCCTTGGGGCACCTCAGTTTGAAGGGGGAGATGGATTCCTGGCTTTCTGGAGGGGGTTGAGGTGTGAAGTAGCTGACCATGATCTTGATAATAACCACGAAGTCGAACAGAGGCACACAGGCCAGATACTTGCTGCCCAGAGGTTTTAGGGTGAAAAGCAAAAACCCAGACAAAAACCAAACCAGCTATAAAAACAATGGTGTTCAGAACTTCGTGGGAGGAGTCTGCAGACAAAGCGACCAT